AAAAATATATCATTTATGTTCTATGCATTTTTTGCATAGAATCAATATTTTTCGAAAAAAACGAAATAGGAAAGACACCCCCACTGCATCCACGTATACACTTTACAGCGCAAAGCGTGGTTCCAACCCAAACCTATGTGTCTAGTTTTTTAGTAGTGGAGCCCAGTAGGGAGGGGCAGAACCCACTGCATAGTGCGGGGGAGGGGGGTGTTTTTCCTACTATCTCATTTTTTCGAAAAATATTGCAAGAAATGCATAGAATATAAATAATGTATTTTTTTAAGAGTTACAACTTTTATTTGAAACATTGTTTTGTTACATCAATATTTATCAAAATAATGTTTAAAAAACGATAATTTTTTAGTCTTTTTAAGTTTTGACTTTGAAAATGACTTTATCGCCAATCGGCATGGTTATATTCATAATTAGCGCGCAAAAATACAATAAAAAGCGTAGTTTGCAACAAATCGAAGGTGTGGGCTTTTCGGAACTTTATCTTTTACTTTAAACATTTCTCATTTAAAAACTATTGCAATCTCGATATTTTCATACTAAGATTTTGTTTCCAAATAACTTCAGAAATCTCCCATTAACAAGTGATATGGTCAATTTGAGACACTTATTGTTAATATATTTATGAAAATATTATATCAAGTATCTTTAACACTTTGTACTTAAACATATATCTACTTTAATTATATGTGATGTATTTGAATGTAACGACATACTTTAACTTTGACAATTTACCTCATAAGACTTTTCTACTTTTCAAATGAATGATTTTATTATAGATTTATTGGACTATCATTAAAGTCAATGCTGTATAATTCGGATGGACAACTGTAGTAATGGCAAAGAAAATTTGTTAAGATAATTGTTTTTAAGATCGAAATTTTTTTATAAATTTTATACGATATGGTATAATATCATTGTCATTTTATTCAATAAAAATTTTCTATAATATTTTTCTTGCTGTAATCCTATAGAAATATGCAAATTACTTTTCATACGAGAACGAAATGATTACTCATTGCTGTTTATTTTTAGTCACCTTAGATACCGTTCTCGTAACTTAGCGCGGTCGTAAAACTGAAGGAACTTGAGTATGATCGTTTGACAAGAAAGCGAGAAGAATAAGGAAGCTTTTTATATATATCCGCATAGCTACGTTCGCATATAACCACAAACGGATCCACGAATAAAGAACTCTCCCGCCCCAATGATCAAAGATCCAAGAAAATCTCGAGTTACAAGACGTTAGAACCGCCCATCGTTTTTTTCTTACAGCACTATATGAATTTCCTCAAATTTTACTCAAATCTATTTGCTGCGTCTTCTCATTGTGCTTTTTGTGATTGAAACGGAAAGAAAACAAATAATTTTCATACAATTGAAAGAAAGGATGCTTTAATTTTCAATGTTAAATATAATTTATAGTTTTTTCATGTTTTCAGTAAAGAAAAATCGATTTTACATCTGTTAAAAAATCTGTCAAATACAAAATTTAAAGTTTTACGCGGCAAAAGTAAACTTCTAAGAGAGAATAAACTTTTATATAAGTTTACACTAGGGATCCTCTCCCCGCATAGGATATCATACAGGTAAACGTTTTATTCAAGTCACAAAGGGAAAGGTCAGTATCGATAGACTTTTAGTATTGCAGTATTATTTTCTATAGGCAAGACTATGGCATATATAATGCCCAATAATAAAGTGACAAGAAATAGAGCAGTCCTAGCGATCGTAAATTACAACGGTTCGATTTTTAACAGCGAAAACAAGATTACTTATTTCAAAGAGTGTGAAGATTTTTCTGCAAGGTATAGCGTAGGTGGTACGAATCAAGTTTTACCGATAAATACGCGCAAAATAATTAAGAACTTTTTTCAATAAAATTTACAAAATTAAAATCAAGCATTAAAACTCATCCAAAATAATATAATTTAACATATTCTATATTTTTAAAATTATCTATCATTTTGTTTCGTTAAAATTCTAGTATTTAAAATATATTTAAAATTAAAAATTTTGTTCTAAAAGAATATAATATAAAAAAAAAGAACAAGTATAACTGAGCTGGAAAATTAACAAAGAAAAATCACTATAATAAAAACTGGACAGTGAAACCGGCTCTATGCGTATCAAATAACTACGTGGCAGCTGTTGCGCTTTCATTGCATATTCTAAACCAGGATTATGAATTTCAGGGAAAAACGGCTATTGAAAAAAAAGGATGTGAAACAAGATAGAAGCCAGACTCAGCGGATCGTCAAGCGTTACCGGAGTACGTCGCGAATAATAAACTATGCATATACGGTCACGAATAATAAGCCGTGCATACATTGGGAGGCATGTCAACCATATTACATTATGTATTCTCATGATACTTCTTCCGGAAAAAATGAATAAAAACCTTAGCCGCGAATCTTGGTCAGTGAGACCTTCTGGTTTGTTTTGTTCATTTATGAAGCCTGACAATTTGGACGAGGCAGAGATTGAGCAGTTTACTATACCTTGTGGTTAATATTTGATGACTACGACTTTAAGTATGGATAACCAGAAATAGGGATAATTTGACATAAAAAACAAAAATAAAAGAAAATTTTGTTATATAAAACTGTGTTTTATAAAAAAAGTATATTTAAATATTGGAAAATTAATAACATCTTTTCTTTATATTAAACTTACATAATACAACAGTATTACATCAGTCAAACAGCCATTATAAAAGTAAAATTAATACGATAATATATAAATAACTGTTTAAAAACTATTTCCTGTTAATAACTGTTTGTAACTGTTAATAACTGTTAATAATTGTTTAATAATTTCCTGTTTAATATTTCTTCACTTTAATAATTATTAAATAAATTTTTTTTCTAATAAAATGCTGAACGACAATTAATAAAGTTATCGTTCACCTTTTTTCATAAATGTGTAAGTAATATAAGTGTGCCGAATTAATAATTATTGTTATTGTTAAACCTATTATAGATAAACATCAATGTCAAAAAAGAAAATAAGAAATATAATTATATTGTATAATTGTATATAAAATAAGATTTATCATTATAGAATTCATTTGCTGCATGTACATGGGACAGTTGGATGATTGAATTGCAATGTGTATGGCCCAACTATAAAAAAATAGAAAAATTTTAGTTTTAAAAAAATTACTGTGATTAAATATGCATTAAAAAATCAGCTTGAAAAGAAGTTAAAAATTTGCGAAAAAGTTAAAAACTTCATGATAATTATAAATAAAAATTGTGTAGAAAATAATTATGTAGAAAATCTGTTGTTTTATATATAATATGATAATTATTATTGAGAATACTCGTTCATAATTTGCACTACATAGGCAAGGTTGCTTATCGCTTACCTTCTTTTTCCGTTCAATATGTTTGCGTTTTTCTTTATTGTTAATTGTTGTCGTTGTCAAGGAGTAAGACTGATGTATTTCTCTTCTCTTATAATAAATATATATTAAAAGTGTAATTCTGCTTTTTATATCCTCAAAAGTTATTGTAAATATCATAATTAATAAAAAGCATAGTGCTACATGTCTGTAAAATTTCATCAAAGTCGGGCCCGAGTCGGATACAAAAGTTCAGCCAATTTTTCAATCTTACATTCGACATTATCACGTACGATACGACCGATGAATTTATATGACATTCCCGAGTTTTCTAAATACGATATACTTTTAATAAATACGACGAAATAATTTCGTTTGTTACAAATGTGAAATTAAGCTACCTATTTAAAATTTCAACATTTTAACAATATCTGATAGTAACATTATGAGCGAAAAAACGTCATCAAACGTTATCAAACGTAAATATCATCGAAAAAATAAAGCTAATTGTTATCACTTGCCGTTATTATGTTAACCAACAATGCATTCAGTTCTTCTGGTCTGTGTTGACAAAAACGAGATGCACAACATGATCGCACACAATCGCAATTCACATATATATGAGTTCTGCATTCTTCGGTTAGCTTCGGATATTAGAAAAGAACAGATATACTGTTTTTACTTTCTTCTTACTGGTTCAATAAAGACAGAAATAGTGTGTCTGCATTTCCCTAATATCCTAATATTCGAAGCTAGCTGAAAAATGCAGAACTCACATATATGCAGTTTGCGATTATTGCGATCGTGTTGCGATCTTGTTTCTGGCAATATAGCTCCCGGTGTCGTATGCGTGATGTATTTTCAAAACAACAAATAACGCGAGGCAATTAGCTTCGATTCAACACTGCTGCAATACGTTTCAAAAATTTGAAAGATGGAAACAACTTTACACTGACGCTTAATAATAAACGATGTTTATTATAGCTGTGTTCCAAAATGCGCTTACTAGCAGTACTGAAAACCTGTAGTATACATGAACTATAGATTGTCTATAGATTGTCAACACTGGCAGTAAATATCGAAATGCAATCAATGAGATGCGATGGATTGGACGCGATTTTGTACGAATATCGAAATGACGTATCTGACTTTTCGTTATTAAGGACCACTTTTTCCAACGTCGGTTAACGTTAACTAACGATTGCTAACATGAAGAATAAAATATCTTTATTAAAAGTGATAAAAATTAAAAATTTTTTTTTTTTGATGACCATATTTCATGTATGTTAGCAATTCTATTAAAAAATTAAAATCGTTGGTTAACATTAACCGACGTTGGAAAAAGTGGCCCTAATAGCGTTTTTGATTATACGGATTTTGATCGATCCAAGATTGATCAATCACTATTTTACTATAAATTCATGTCTTTTATTGGTAGAGACGATGCAATGGCTGCGTTCAGCAGAACAACTGCTGAATTGTCGTCTAGTCAACACTTAACGTTGATTTGTTGGTTCTAAAAGTAAGAGCCAATCATGTTTGATTGCTACCAAGCGATTTGTTTTGCTGAACGCGCCCAATGATTCCGTAATGTGAAGTTATTTGTAAACAATGAAGCCATCTACAAACATCGGCATGCTATCAAGCCTTTTGTCTCCCCCTATCTTGATCATAATTTCTTCATAATAAAGGAAACCTCCAGATGTCGATTATCAATTGTTAGTGTGACAAGTTTTGTTTCTTTTCGGCGTTCACTTTCGATTGGTTTCGACCTGCGTTATGTTTATACAGTACTAAAGTATACTAAGTATTTCTCGAATGTATTCTGACGTTTGTATATCCGATTTCGATAGCGACAATGACGACATTGCATGGTCATTCCAACGACCTAGCAATAATGATTATTTGAATGAAAGTATCAGCACCGGTAGCAATAGCAGCAGCACGTTTACATATGACTCGCGGTCTGAACGTGTACGCGAATTCGGCGAATTTGAAGAGAATTATGGTTGGATCCAGTGTCGATCTAAGAGCTATCCTGATCGTATGTATTATCATAATACACATAGCGGCTGCGGTACATGGTACAGGCCCATCTCGCGTTGTGTTGACATCCCACTCGTCTCTATCGATGCTCCGTCGAAGGTAAGTCAATTAAAAACTAAAAAAGAATAAAAAGTTAGTTTTTTTTTATATTTTCCCTAATTATAGAAAATTTGAAACGAAATACACGCATACAATTTAGAAGGAAAAAGGGAAAAAGCATAATTGAATGCAGAAAGCAACTATAGAGAGATAAAAACAAAAAATATAACATGTAAATAAAAACAATGCAGAGATTTTGCAAGAATAGATATTTGTGTACTCATATTTTATCTTGATATATTTTTTTTCTGTATCTAGTTTTTTGACAATTTTATAATCTTGTAAATATATTTATTAATATAAACTATAAAAGTTAAAAAAATATACAATTTATAATGAGAGAAAAATGAATGTAGAATATAAAATCTTTCTGTGTGAAACAAAATGAAACAAATGAAACAAAAGCAAGACATTAACAACAAGTACTGTTTCATACAAAATTAAAGAAAAGCTTTTTTTCAACAGGTTTGTCATATAGATGATACAACAGTGAACGATTTGGAACTGATGTCAGTATCGGACCATGAAAAAGAGTCAGATGTATCAGCCGTCAAGCACAATGGTAATGGATCATTAATTGAAGCACCTGATATTATTACGCGATATTATTACACTCCTCAGGTAGACTTGACCTCCAACATGGACAACATAAATGACTCATACGAATCAATTAATGCATTGAACAAATGTGGCAATAAGAAAAAAAAAATTGATCTAAACAAGAACAATATTAGCAATGATATTGATGATTCTGAAACAGAAGTAGAACTATTGTGTGCCACAAATTTCCTCGAGACTGAATTTTTTGTGGAAGAGAGTGAAGTGCTTATCAAGTCTCCTCCACGCATATCTGTTGCATACGGCGTTCCATGTGTGAAGAAACTGAACTTTGAGGATCAATTGATCAAAAGGAGAACATGCATTTCCAAGGATCAAGAATCTGGGAAAATCATTTGCGATATGTATGGTGTGAGAACTATCAATTACAATCTATCTGAACCAGATCAGAAGCCGAACGAAGTAGGAATAAAATCATCGAGATTGAGCGAAAGTGACAGCGACACTAGTGAATTGTCCTCGTCGTCGCAGCCCTTGAAAACAATACGATTATTTGAATCCGAATGGCGCGATATAGAGAAAAACTTGCATCAACCGTTATTGAGTGATCCAAGTTCCAGTCCGTCGTCACGGTCCGATACAAGCAGCTCTAGTACAAGTCAAAGTACTAGCTCTGCTAGTTCGTGCTCTACCTGCTGCTCATGCGACAAAGAAGCTTAAACAAAATGTCAAATATTTGGTAGGCAAATCTTATCTAATGATTAGGTAATTCTTTATTTTATACAATATTTACGTTTGTTTTTTTATTTTTTTTTCCTGTTATGTCTCATGTATTTTATATATTGAGATGTGTATCAGTTTTATTTTCATGTTTTAATTTTATGATTTGAGTTTTTTTAATTATTGATTTAGTTACTTAAATTCTTTGTTTCTTTCTGTATTTCACATTTTTTTTATGTTAATTTTTATCTATGTGTTAATGACAGAATTGTATGTTGCTATGTACGTGTGAGGAAATAAGATAAGCTTTACTTTACATATAACTTAGGATAGTTTTTTACTTTGACATATTTTTAAGATGTTCAAAGTTTGTGATTGCGACGCTAACTCTAATATGAATAACAGAATGGCAAATATAGTTTTCTAACAATAAAAAATATATTATGACGGAATAAAAAAGACAATAAGAATCAAATGCACGGGTGTCAATACACAAAAAACAATTTATTGTCAATGATAAAACTTTGTTTTTTGTACACTGACATCCACGCGTTTGTTTCTTATTACCTTCTTTACTGCATTAATATTAATCTTCATATATATCCACATTAAACAATTTAATTTATTGATGAAATGATGTGTCGGGACATTCTACATTTATAATTTTATACGTATCATAGAGAAAATGCTTAATTTAAAGTATCAGATTACATATAAGTATACACACTTGTGCGCACACATGCATATGGCATTCATAAAGTCACGTAAATATACAGAATTCTCTTGCAACTTAGATTTAGGATTAGGCAGTGTAAAAAATTGCTATATGCAATTATGATTTTATTTTGCAATATAAAAGATAGGAGAATGAAAAAGAGCCGCTGCTTTTCGCCACATTATATGCTCGCGGGCATTCTTGGTATCCCGCAGTTGAGATCAGTAAGGTAGGAGTGCCAGGGCAACGAGGAGGTGCAGGTGCAACGGTGCGCCCCGAGTCGTCACCGTGGCGCGCCTCTCGTCTCGCTTTAAGCACGAAGGCTGCGTTTTTGCTGGTCTCGCTGTGTAGCGTTCCACCGTGGCAACGCGTCTGTATATACCGCTTCGGTGCGGCGTCAACGAAGCGCGGAGAAGAAAAGCGGTGAGACCCCTCACGGAGAATTGCAGTTCAAGAAACGTTCCGCGTTTTGCTGACTATGTTCTTTCAACTATATATGTATATATACTCTCAACTATATATATATTTGTATTAAGCAGAAGCGTTTTTATCATTTCGATGTCGTCATTGTTCTTGAAATTGTAAATTCTTATATTGTATGTATATAAAAAAGATAATATATATATATATATGTTTTATTTATTATATACATATATCTAAGAATTTACAATTTCAGGAACAATGATACAATGACATTGAAATGATAAAAAACGCTTTTCTTTAGTAAAAGAAATATAGATTACTTTTAAAAAACCAAGTTGATAATATAATATGCCAAATGTACTAATAATTTCTACAAATAGTATTTGTCAAAAGAATTTTTTGTTTTATTATATTAATATCTTAAACTATTAATGTGTAATGTAAATGTTATCGTTTTTTATATAAAAATGGATAAAAAATACAAAAATAGCCTAATTTTGAAATTTGATTATATTATGGATTTGTTATAATATAAATTTATTATAAATTCAATAAATGTAAAGGTTAATTCGTAATTTGCCGTTTAAAAAAACTATCCTTAAAAAAATTAAAATAATCTATTGTTTGTTTGGTTATATATATATTTTTTGTTTCAGCTATTTCATCATATTTTCCAGTGAATTTAATGCAAATCTATCGAATGCTCTATGCAGCATTTAGGCGCCACGACAAATATTAACGTACCAAGCATTGCCGAGCAAAAATCACAGCCGGTTTCTAGCCTGGCATATGGCAAACGTTACCTTCGCGCGAGCATTTATTATTCGCAGCCGGCGCGCCGTCTCGCGGTTATTATTCTCGTCCTATTGCAGTCGTGTCGTCGTCACCGTGGATTCATCGACGAATCGCAAAACTGGAAGTATAAACAGACGCAGCCTGTCGCGAAACGGAATCGTGACAGAAGTATGAAGAGATCATGAGTGGCGCTTGTCGTCCACCGCTCGCTTCCGGCTGTCATGCGCGGTTAATTTCCTTTCGGCACGTGCAATTGTTCGCTTGAATCACTAAACGCGCGTGGGTCGCACTACTGGCGTCATCTGTCGTTGTCATTAAATTCGAATAAATGCTCAAATAGAAGATATGCTCGCAAACCGTGGTTTAGTTATATACTTTATCGTTTAAATTTTTCAAAATCTATTTTTGTACCAAAAGAACTGCACAAAGATCTTGTTGGGTGAATAAGCAGTTTATGAATAATATTTGAATAATATTTATCTTTGAGAATAATATTTTAAAATATATTTTTTGTTAAGTTATTTTTGCATTTTTGGAAAGTATTTTTTGTATTTTTTTTGTTTTGTTCGCAATTTTAAATACTTTATAAAATATTGAAATATTATAAAGTGTATTTTTTACTTAATAAATGCTACTTTTTAACTTAAACGTTGATATGTTCTTGCATATTGGATTATACATATTATTAGCCATTTAAAGAATAACTGAGAATTGAATGAATTTATTCAGAAAACTATCTAACATTACACATCAATGATTATTTATCAATATAGAATTGTTTAGATTTTAAATGGGCACTTTTAAACAATTAATTTGTATTATAAAAATGAAATCTGAATGATAATGGAACCTATTATATGAGGATACCTTCAAAATAGATTGAAGTTAAATAATTGTATTTAATGTTGAATACAAATATAAATTTAGAATTACTAATTCAAAGTTAAGAATAGAACATAAGCGTGGTAAGAATCGAGAGCCCTAATACGAGATGGGTAGATAAAGATCCCCGTGAAACAGCCGTGAACTTTGCATTGTGAGAGAAATTTGCTTTTGCTTAACGAGCCATACAGAAATTCCCGCGCCTCGAAACAATAAAGTACCTACGCGCATATTCTTTTTTTCGCTGCTCAATGCTTTCGGTATTTATAATGCAGTGAGAAGGAAACTTACATGATGTTGCAATTTTATTATTATGGATACTGAATATGGTGTTCGAAGTTTCAGGATTGACTTTCTCATCAAGCAAGCATATTGTAATAGATTGACATCAACTGCTCTGTTAATTAAAGTTTGCAAGTATAACATAACGGTAAAAATAAATAAAAAATATTATATATATTTTAAAATATTATAGACATAAGGAAAAGAGAACTGATAGAGGCCATACCGAATATTTTACGTTCTTGTTGCATCTACATTTCATAATAAACACAACAGCATGCGATTTTACTGCTATCTGTAATTGATTAAAAATAAACAATTAACTGATGGACAATGTATGTACGTCATTTAAAGGCTCTTGCAGACAGGACGCGGTAACGCTTGCCGCGCAGCAAAAGACGACGCGATAGCCAATCAACTTACAACTTTTCCATAAAAGCCTATCCAGACAAACTTGCATAGTCGCATAAACATATGCATAAGGAAATTGATTGATCTATAAGCAAATACATATGAAAATGGACCAATCAATTTCCTTATACATATGTTTATGTGACTATGCAAGTTTGTCTAGATAGGCCCTAAAAGCGAAAAACTGATTGGCTACCGCGCGGCAAGTGTTGTCGCGTCCTGTGTGCAAGAGGTCTTATAATAGTTACAACTAAAACTTTTTTACGCGTAAAGACCATAAGCGGTAAAAAACAACATTATTTTTATTTTAAATTAAGCTAATTTTGCGCATTAGACTGGGTCTACAATAGGTGTAGTAAACTTTAAGCTGTAAGAAATTGACCACTAATAGACAAATCCATGGATGTATAAATACCTGGATGAAGCAATAAGTAGTCTTAGGCTGAATTCCCACTAAGCGCGTCACGCGTTGCGTCATCCGTCGCGTCACAAATTAACCAATCAAAACATCCTATTTTATTGCATCATTTGCCGCGCGAATAAAATGAGATGTTTTGATTGGTTAATTCGTGATGCGACGGATGACACCGACGCGTGACGCGCTCAGTGGGAATTTGCCATTATAGGCGAGGGAGATGAAGCTGAGCGGCAGAGGGAAATCATGTAGCGGCATGTTGGTTGGCTAGAAAAATGGCGATGTTAGGTACTTAACTTAACCTTGGCTTGGCGATCGCGTTCACATGGCTTGTAGAAAACCGAGCAATTTGAAGATTTGAACTTATTACCTCTACTTTTATGTATTTATATATTATAATTATAAATAATATTTATATATTATAAATTCCACGCTTGTTAGTTACCCGTAGCCGCCATCTTGGTTGGCTAGTTTTCCTCTTTCCCCTCTGGCTTCAACCCCTCACGTTAACGCTCCGTCCATATATTCTTATGTCCTTGGACAAATTACAGAAAAATAATCGACTGTGATTGGTCAATTTTTTATGGCTTAAAGCTTACATCTATTGTAGATCCGGCCTTACTATTAGATGACACTTGCCCCTAAAAAAGCGCGTTGAGCACGTTGCCTCTAGAGTACCTCAAGTAACTTGAAGTTCTTGAAGTTACTTGAGGTCTTTGACTATGAAAATATGGACCGCTAGAGCCAACTTCACGTTGGTAGTCAAGATCTATGGCGACACCGTGTGGCAACGAGGCCGGAAATAACTAATCCATACAATAGTGTGCGTGTCAAAGGTGCGTGGTGTTTAGTGCATGATATCGGTTTGAATTTTTGACAATTTAAATATATAAAAATGGTGTTATATTGTTTTGTGGAAGGTTGCGAATCGAGGAAATATAAAAAAGGGGAAATTAATGACTCCAGCCTGCAGTTTTACGGGCTTAATCCTTGCATCCTTCTTACGTACTTTGAATTTCCTGCAATTTGCCACACGGGGCAAGTTCAAAATCTTGAAAAATATCGAAAAATGTTGGATACATATCCTTATACACGGGTTAAGGCCATTACACACAAAATGACATAACTGCATATGCATAGCATAAGACCGTCTCGACCAATGAGCATGCTATAT